GAGGTTAAAGTGGACTTTAAATTAGGGGGTTGCCTACGTGCTAGTAGAGGGGGCTGTAAAAATAATTCTTTAATCGATGGGTCTTCTTGGAGGGAGAGGAAGTCTCTTTTAATTCTCTTAGACAGTTGCAGGATGCTGGGGCCATATTCAAATACCATAGGTAGCCGATCATTGTTAAATTTAGGTCTATATGTGAGAAGATCAGTACGAGATTTACGTGAGTTACTTGACATGAACTTGCCAGTGAGAAGAGATATGTGTTTGTTATAGTCGGATGGACATGAGCAGATTCGTTTGAGACGCAGGCATTGACTGTAGATGAGCGATCGTTTAAGACTCATAGGGCGTGAGCTTCTGTAGTCGAGGTATCGATTGTTGTCTGTGGGTTTTATGTGTACTGATGTGGTGATGTTACCATTATCTAAATTTATAGATACATCTAAGAATGGTAAATTGGACTCTGAATGATCCATGGTAAACTGAATGCTCGAATGATACGAATTGCAGTGATTAGAAAATTCTCTAAGACTATCTAAACCGTGCTCCCAAATAAAAAATATCAAAACTCGGTATAAATGGCAGTACTGTGACGAATTAACGATAAATGAAAAAAATTCCAATTCATTCCAATAATTTACGCGAGCATGGGATTTACCGTCGAGCACGCACGCACGCAAATATTCGATTATATATGAATTCTAATACGCTGTCCATACTAAGTGATGTTAATTATAAAATAATATAATTGTAAACCCAATTAAGTGTGTGAAATTAATATGCAGTGTACGTAACTCATATACTTTGCATGTGTTCATCGGGAAGATCATGACACAAAATGGATCTTACAAATTGCAGCTTATTGTAAGATAATATTTATTAGTTCACTCTTCCCACAAGGTACAGGAGAGGTATTTAATTTAATAAGTAAATACAGATAGATAATATAATAATTGTAACTTAGCAAATGTCTTTGGGTATGTCGTCAAAATTAAAACATGACATTAATTACGTCATCATCAGGAATTCCTGATGTCGGGGATTCAATATTTCGACATTAATTATGTCATCATCAAGAATTCTTGATGATGACTTAATTAGTGTCGAAATATTGAATCCTGACACCATGGCGTGCATTTCGATACTTTAAAAGAGAATTAGCAAAATGGTTTTTTGTTCAAGAGAGGATTTTTGATATGCCATTAATAATAGAAACTTAAAATCTTTTTTTTGGTTTTTTTCTTAATGAAGTTATAGGCTGTAAGTGATTGTTACAGCATGCACGCAAAGATCGTACGCGGCGGATACCCTACGCGGTGGATACCTTACGCGGCGCTATTTACACGATCTTTTGTTACATTTTCGCCAGTGACGTCATGGTAAAATCGTATATAATCGCCTATAACTTCTTTATAAAAAAATAGCCAAAGAACGATTTTAAGGTTGATTCTATTATTAATTGCATATTAAAAGTCCCCTCTAGAACAAAAAATCATTTTGCTAGTTCGCCTTAAAAAAAAAAAAAAAAAAAAAAAAAAAAAAAAAAAAAAATGGTTCGTGTGGGAATC